CAGAGAAGGTTATGGGGGGATTTAATAGAGGTGTTCAAAATTATGAGAGGTTTTGATAAAATAGATAGGGAGAAACTGTTTCCTCTGGCAGCTGGGTCGGTAACCAGAGGACATGGATTTAAGATAATTGGCAAAAGAACCAGAGGGGAGACGAAGAGACACTTTTTTTACCCAGAGAGTTGTTACAGTCTGGAATGCACTGCCTGGAAGGGTGGTAGAAGCAGATTTGATAATAGCTTTCAAAAGGGAATTGGATAGGTACTTAAAAATGAAAAATGTTCAGGGTTTTGAGGCAAGAGCAGGGGAGTGGGACTAGTTGGTATTGGTAAATAACCGGCAGAGGCACGATGGGCCAAATGGCCTCCTTCTGTGCTGAAAGATTCTATGAAGGCTCAATCCTTCTCAGATTCCAGCCTGTGACTCATTGTTCAGTCAGCCATTCACCACATTCATGAGGAATGGGTCCACTGGGGTCCACAGCAAATCCATTCAGCGGAGAGCATCTACATGTGAAACACTCCATTTTTATTCAGGCCATTTGATGCAGTAGACTCATTCAGTGTAACAACAGGCTAGTTAATAATTGAAGGCTTCATTCATCTAACCCGCAGGCACTGTGAAACCATTGAGATTCAGCTCTCCATCGTCTCTAACAGCGTTACTTCATCAACGACAGGAGGTGGAAGCAAATGTTCAACAAGGTGCAGATGCTGGGGAATCACTGACAGAGCAAGGACACTGGTCCATTTCCTGGAGCAGTGTAACCCACAGCAAGGCTCAGGCTTTTTAAAGCTCTTGTTTGACAGCATATATTCATCAGAACAAAATGACTGCTTGTAACAGCTGCAGAGATACAGAAGACAGAACTTGCATTTTCACAGACACCGGCGACACACAGCAAGCTGCACCACACCTATTATCATCATCCGGAAAATGTCTCTGGTAGCAGAAAAAAAATAGGGAAAACCGGTTTCCTTTCGTTGTGGAAAATTTGTCAATAAGGCTGGATTGCTAACATAGGAATCAAGAGAAAGGTTACAAGGAATTTGTTCACTCAGGAATTTGTTGGGAGGAAGATGGGGGGGTGGGAGGAAGAGAGAGAGCAAGAGGGAAGGGCCCTCATTTCCTGTATAACAGTGTCTTCAGGCCTGCATTACTGAAATTTCAGCATCTCGTGCGGCAGTTCCTCAGCATCCCTCAGACCCACTCAAGTCATCATCTTTTTCCAGCTCATACATACGGTTACCTAGGCAATACATTCATAAATAGTAATAAAAAATAATAATCGTTGCATTTGATATAGCACTTTTCATATCTTCTAGACGTCTCAAAGCGCTTCACAGAATATTCTGTAAAGTGAACTGACTGTATATGTGTGGGTGAAATGTGGCAGCCAACTGCGCACAGCAGCGTCCCAGAAACAGTCATGGATTTAAATTAAAATTAAAACCTCATTTCACCATTGGCTTGGTTCTGAACATGGAATCAGTTATCTGATTTACTGTAGAGTTTGTACTGACTGGATGAGTGACAACACAGTTAAGTATATTATCCTTCACACTGATCAGGGATTAATTGAACTATAAATGGATTGATGAATAGAACTACAGATATGAGAGATGCAACCAGCAATTCTTAGCCATCTTGGCATATACATCAATTGATTTCAATACAGATATATTCATGCCCCCTCATTTTGGATTCAACAAAAGTGGAAAAAGCCTATTAATGTCATCCACTTTATCAACCCTTTGATAATTTTAAACACCTCCATCAGATTCCCTTTCGATCGTCTCATCTCCAAAGAGAAAAGCTCTAACCCGTTCAATCTCTGTTTACAGCTGTATCCATGGATACAGTATGTAAAACAAACCTTGCATTTGATGCAGTGGCTCATCATATCGTGGAACGACTCAAAGTGTTTCATAAGCAGATGGTAACACTGGATACCGCAGCTTTACGGAATAGTGCCAATGAACACATAAACTAAGCCGGTACCAGTTACAGACAGTGAGATAACTTACACTCAGTTCTCTGGCCGGTGGCTGAGCATCCTGCACACAGCACTAGGCCTCGGTGTCAATGGCTTTTATTTACAGACCCAGTGTTGGTTGTACCAGACTAGTCACAGCTCCGAATCATGGAGCTGTGACTAGAAGGACTAAATCCTTCCTGCATGGAAGGATCCTGGTCCTGATTTGAAAGGTAGAAAGAAATACCTGACAACTCGGGAGCCTTAGCCTTTATACTGAGGTTTTAAAATGCTGGATTTCTGATCTCAGATGGACAATTATAATACACAAAATAATAATCATTGTGTCTGCAGCGGGCTGACACACATCTGGAGGGAGCAGATCAAACGTCTCAGAGGGCGCCATCATGCAAACCTCTCTGGGCAGAGAATCTCTCACCTCTCAATCCCATAGGGAATCACCGTCTGAATAGTTGCTGGACAGGAGAAGTGGGAGGCAATTCATACCCACATACAAAGTGTCAATCCTCTCTCCCCTCTCCTCTCTGTAAAGACAGCACTATAAGCTGAATAGGTGGGCAAGCACCCACAGTAGCAACCTAAGGCTGGAAATGTTAAGGATTAAGAAAGAAAGAACAAAACCCACTTCCAATCACTCTGAACAAATGGTATTAGTGAAATGAGCTGACAGAAGCAGCAGACTATTCTCTCCAGCAAGAAAATTTGGGTCAAACAAGCTCCTCAGGAACTTACTTGCGCACACAAAGAGGCAAGAGAGAAACCAAGTGATAATTAAACTGTGCTCACCACCCCCCACCACCCTCACACACACGCACCCGGCTCTGGCCATCACCACGGCATTGGCACAAGCACATGTAGCCCCAGCAGGAAAAGCTGAAAGCTGCTCACTAGGCTCATCAGACTTCACTGAAGAGAATCTGAGATCAATACAAGTACTTCCAATCAGAGGCAGAAACTACTGACCCCAACACAAACTCCTGCCTGTGTCCATCTCTGAGAACAAAAAATAGCCAGGAGGGGGGAGTTTAATTGCAGGGACAATTAATTGTTTAAGTGTCACTGGTTTCTGCCTTGTCTCTCTGTATGTGCAAGTAGGTCACTGGAACTTGCCCCGACCCAGTTTTGCCTGTTAAGAATGCAAGAATCTCATAGCAAAACACTGCAGCCTCAAAAATTGATGCAGGTTAGGCATGAGAGAGTGAAAGACACACACACACACAGACACAGAGAGAGAGAGAGCTTTAGCTTCATGGCACACGGGCCTTGCAGTCCATCAGCAAATTTAGCTTGATCACCTCACCTCTTCCAAGCTCCTTTATGAATAAATCCATAAGTAATCCTTGCATTTGACACACAGCCCTACCTGGAAGGGTGTCTCAAAGCACTTCATAGGATTTACTGTCAAGTCGAGGTGACTGAGTATTTTATGGGCACATTCAGTCGGGGTGCACAAGGCAATTTCCCACAGACAGACAAGAAGTGAATGACTAATTCACTATATTTCAATGCAGTTATGCAATTTGTTGTGATTGATCCCCAGCTATTCTGAGAGAGCACTATTAGCCTTGCAAAAAGATTAACTCTCACTCCACTGAACTTGCCAGGAAGCACAACTCAATATTTGTTATTAAGGAATCCAGTAATAAGAAATAGAAATTTAGATACTGGGAACTGCAGAGGTGACCAGGTGGCAACTGAGTACTGCTGCAGGTCGCATTACACTCAGTCAATACACAGAATGAGCAGCAGCTTTATATATCATAATCAAATAGACAGAGAGCAGCCCCTGATCGGCACATTGCAGCTCACTGCAGACAAAACTTGCCAGCGTCCGGATGTGCTGAACAGGTTATGAAGTCAGACGAGTACCTCTGAGACGGCAATGCCAAACATTCTGGGTTGACGGGCTTGACACGGTTGGTTAAGATGAAAATCTACACAGCTGCTCCCAGCCACACGATGGGTTTCACACTGGGACACAGTCACACAGCTTGCTGGTGATAAATTGGCTACACAGCTACAGTCCTCTCCCAAATGACTTTATTCTAGTGGGATGGGACTGATGGTGGGACTGACAGAATTAACATTCACTGTGCTTACCTCAGAGTCAACTTGACTTTCAAAACCAAGTCATTGCTGTGTGCAATTTCAGCAAGGATTTTAACAGAAATGGGGACACAGTGGTGCAACATACAGCATCACAGCTCTGGCAGGACACGACTTTGGTCCCAGAACTAAGTTTCTCGTCTCAGTGCATGAATGGAGGGAGGAATAAATGAGGTGGTGGACGCCAAGTAGGGGTGAGAGATTTAAAGATGCTGATCAAGGCCAAAATTTAAGTAATTTTTACAAAGTTTTTGAAGCAGGGAGAGAGAGAGGTAGTGAGGCAAAATGCTTTGGGAAGAAAATTCCAGAGACCAGGGTCACAGTGGCTGAAAGTTCAGCCGTCGTTGAAAGTTCAGCCGTCGTTGAAAGTGGAGTAGAGAGCAGTAGATCAGAGGTGAAAGATCGGAGTCTACGGGCTGGAAGATAGAGCTGATGGAGAGGCACTGCCCATGTGCCTCTCTGTGTGATATCAAGCAGCCTGTCACAATTAACATTGGCACATGATAATAATACTTGCATTTGATATCGCGCATTATCACATCGGCAAAATGTCTCAAAAGATTTACAGGGTTTACTGTAAAGTGTAGTGACTGCAAGCAGGTCATACACCACTTTGTCCCTTGGGAAACATGGGAGAGAATGCCGTTCCTTTTGGGAAATGGTGAACCATTAGCTTACCAAACGGTTGGGTGAAATGATCATACTTGTCAATCCCTGACCTGTCACTTCAAACATACTGAAAGGAAAAGGACTTCACCTCATTCCTGCTTTCTCTCCAAAACACGATAAGCACTAAACACTAAGATTACATTTACAATCACTAGGTACCAGTCATTGCTCAATGGAATACAATAGAACGGTATCGTAACAAAGACAACCACAGCACAGCCGATACACTCACACTTCATCCATCTCCAAGTCCTCCTCGTTCTGGGACAGCTGAAGGTAGGGGTTGTCTGAAGCTGGTCGGAACTTGTAGCCCGTCAAACAGAAGAACACAAGCGTAGCCAGTTCATCCAGGAACTGGAAAGAAAGAAGGTTCATTAGAATGTAGAGTCACAGTCTCAACAACTACAAGAAGTTGCACTTATATAGCGCCCTCCACACAAGTTAGTCTCTCCCTCACACGCTTGCTCTCGCGTGCTCTCTCCCCCACATACTATCTCGCAGACACATTCACATCCCACACTACACACAATTTGGGTCAAAAACTCAGAATTCACAAAGCATACATAAACAAACTGGACAGCATCTCAGCAACTCCGCACTGACACCGCCTCCCTCTGGGAGATTTGGATCAGAGTTGATGCGGGTCAGTGTGACACAGATCCACTTTCCGTCGAGGGTCAACATTTTCCGACGTGGCTATGAATCCCATGATCCAGACCAAGTGTCTCTCTCCTCAGGAAACAAAGCAACAGAATGGGACGCAATACTGTGCGGCAATCCTGTACCGTGTCATTAACATAGCGCAGGTAGAGGAGGATATTTATCTTGCTGTTAATCTGATCCACACAAATCAATTGAATTCAAGACACTTCAGTTGTAAGTTGTCTTCTGCAAAGCCACTGTGAGGTTTATTAATATGGAACTAAGAATAGCATTTTCAGATTTATCAAATTTACATAGGATGCGAATCTAGTATAATTATCATAATGTGTTCTCATTATGACAACAAGTTGCTCCAAGCTTACACCTGAGCAAAGTGCCAGCGATTTCAGGAAATCTCCAGACACATATTGAAACGCTTACATCCTCCAATTTGGTCTACCCAAAATATACAGTAACCCAGCTTACTCCAGGTACCTGGAACTCGGTTCTAGCCAGAATGAGCCCAAAACGGAAAAGTTAAAATAAATTTCAGCGTGCCCACCCTTGTGTGGCCTCCTGCCAGCCACTCTCCCCACAACCCACCACTCACTGTGCTCGCTGGCCCGGGAGATCCACTTGGACTCTTGTAGCTCAGTGGTTAGAAGACCTGGATTTGATTCCCAGGCTGAGCGAAACGTTGGGCAAGTTTCCTTACTGCTCTGCTCGCAATAAGTAGGAATCCAGCTGTTAATCAATTGCTGGATCACTTTTCTGGGGGTAATAATCCCTTCGAGAAGTAAATAATAAATAATGATAATAATTTGGTCACTCAATCCACCTGTTTGTGGACCCTTCTGTCAATTAATTTTACAGTATATTCTGTGATGGCTTTGAGACTCAAGGATTACTATTATAGTCAACCATTTTCTCTCTCCTGACATCACTTCTCTTGGCTGCATTTCCTATTGCTCAATGTGCTCTCCTCCTGTATCAACCGACACACGATATTTGGATGATTTTAAAACTTTTTTTTAAATTTAGCTCAACTGAGGCAAGTCACAGTGCAGCCAAGGTGTGTGACATAATGAGGCACAGACAGTGGGAAATGAATACTTTAAACCACAAACACTCAATTTGATGAGAATGGGGACAAACACCTGAGACGTGCAAAAGACCCCTCTCCCAGCAATCGACTGCTCACCTGATAAAGCCACTTCCACTGGAAGGGCACCGTGATCTTAATCAGGATGGCGATAATCCGGGTGAAATAAATGTAACAGACGATCTGAAAAAAGACACATAAATAATAAGTTCAGAGAAGCCAAGTTGCATTTATATAGCATCCTTCACGTGGGTAGCAGAAATCCTCGCTGAACATGTATCTCAATCAACAGCAATCGTATCTTTAGAAACTCTCAGTGACCATTGAATCCAGTTATTTAGTTATTCCCATTAAAGTTACGTACAGTTGAATTTTATGGCCAATGTGAGTGTGATTATCTGGTATCTGAAATCCCTGAACTCAATTGTCAGAATGAACAAAACCACGTCCTTTGTCCCTTCACATATAGTTACAGAGAAATGATAGCGCTGCCCCATTAATTATAGTGTGTTGGTGAGAAAGCTGGGTTTTGTTAAAATGTAAATACATGACTAGTGAGTGTGCAGTGAGACTACTGATGGACATGGAAGGACTGTCCAGAGACTCTTGTGAAACCCACCTCTCTGTGATTGTTCTTTAACTTTCCCTGACACCAATGTTCCCTGTTAAGTACGCTGGCACTGGAGGGGCTCAATGCTGAGAACTTACCATGACATAATAATGTCTAAAGAGTTTCAGCTTCGCCAAGTTTATGGCAGCTGTAAGAAAACAGACAAAAATTAATCAAAACATAAGCAACAAGCTAGTCTGTCTGCTATACAGAGAACAAGGCACACCTTGTTCACTGACTGGCTGGTGTACAATTATATAATGGTTATAACTGACTGGCTGGTATACAGAGAATCACAGAATCTTACTGCACGGGAGGCCATCTGGTCCATTATGCCTGTGTCGGCAATTTGAAAGAGCAACCAACTAGCCCCACTCCTCCACCCATAGCCCTGCAATTTTTCCTTTTAAGTACCTATCCAATTCCCCTTTGAAAAATACTAACGAATCTGCTTCCACCAGCCTTTCAGGCAGTGCATTCCAGACCGTAACAACTCTCTGGGTAAAGAAATGTCTCCCCTCCCCTCTGGTTCTTTCGTCAATCATCTTAAATCTGTGCCCTCTGGTTACCGACCCACCCACCAGAGGAAACAGTTTCTCGTTATCTACTGTATCAAAACCCCTCATAATTTTGATCATCTCTATTAAATCTTCCTTCAACCTTCTCTGCTCTAAGGAGAATAAATTGGCAGCAGTGTTGGCCTACAAATAGTCACTACACTTGACAGGAATTTCTGTGAAGCTTTGACACTTGTCTGTTACAGGCGCTGTATCAAATTGCAAGAACCATTGTGCGTTTCGAATCATACAAGATCACGCTGCACACAGTTACCTTGACATGGAAGCGATCCCAGCTCCCACCCACCCACCTCATGCCCACCTGGGGAGGTTCATGCCTGTAACTATCACAGCAAAGCAGGTGAATGCTGGATCACACAGCATAATAGCCACAATTGAAGTGCTCTCCACGCTTCAACACTTTTAATTTAAATCAAACGTGACCTCTAGGACCTGCTTTTGGAAGCAGCTCTGGCCGGCAGGGTGGAAGTCTCTCAGGTCTGTGGGTTGTCAGGGTTCTGTGTGGAATGAGCTGGAGATGCTTTCAATCCAACTCCCGGTGGGTGTGGGATCAAAGCAGAAAAAACACTGTTAATTCGACACTAAATTGGTAATCTCACTCAGCAGGGTCTGGTGCAGGAAATGAGATCTCTGCGGAGTGCAGTTGGAATCAGCTTACTGACAATGCGGCTGAAGAACAGTCTTGAGGGAGCTTAACCCTTTGGGGGATTATTGGCCAGGATACCGAGAGAGACTTCCTTCTCTTTTCATGTGGCGCCATGAGATCTTTAACGTCTAACTGACAGGATCACGGTATAACGTTTCATCCGAAGGATGACACCTCCAACAATGCAGCACTTCCCCCACCCTGCACTGGAGTGTTAATCTGTACGATGTGACCATAAAGGCCCACTACTACTGCGAACCCACCTTGCTCAGGAACTGACTGAGTGGGCTCGATTCTAACAATCCATTACCAAACAGATCTTGGAGGCAGTTCAGCTCCACATACTAACCATGTATTTGCAAGAACATGGGTTATAAGGGAGCTTATCTGGAAGGAGCCACAGACGTGGTAATTGCAGGCTGTGCTGGCCACTGTCTTGTAAATGCCTTCTGGATCTGATAAGCAGAGGCCGCTGGATGCACATAGCTCAATTCCAGCAAAGGCTTTCAGGCAGGAAGGAATAGCTGCGAAATACACGAGAATCCTGAACAGGGTCTCGTCTGGCTCCAGGCACACTCCAACATGTAACACAACCCTGAACGTCAGCACCACGAACAGCCCAGCAAGGGCACATCTCCTCTGGGAACCACTGAACCTTCCATTCTCCATCCCTCCTCCCCGTCCCTCCCGATTGTGTGCACGGGAGGAATTGGGGGGGGGGGGGCAAGGTGGCGGGGAGAAAACAGATCCAACTCAGAGCACTTAAACCACACACTTGCCATTACTTATAATACAGTTGATGAGAAGGTGAAGGCACCCCTACTGCAGTGCGACATGTACCACACCGGCTGCACCCACTCTCTCCACCCGCCAGAACGCGATCAATGCCAATCGCTTCAGAGAGAGAGGACAACCCATTAATCCTCAGCTACCCTGAACCCACAGGCTACAACTCGTTGTGAAAGCAGAAGGATTATGGCAATCTATTTCCCTGACATCTTTCTCATTTATTCTGCAGCAGATGTATTTTCCAGAAAATTAATATTTTTAAATATTTCAGGCTGAGCCACTGCTGACCAACATAAGGCAATTCACGATGTGTGAAATACCAATAGAGTGGCCGCTCACATTGCCACTCACCGAGAGTTCGACTGATCTTATGAACACTGCTTTAACCTCATGGATTCGCTGAGCAGTTCTTTGGTTTGCGAGGGGGCGGGGGGAGGAGGGGAGGGAGGAGGGATCAATAGAAACTAGCACATTGCGTCAAATCTGCAGCTGCTTCCACCGTCTCTCTGACTGCCGATTCTCTTCACTCTGCTCTGAAACTATTTGACAGAATGTACGTGAGTGCGCTTGCCATTGGGAAAAGGGTTGCAGGTTCAAGCCCCACATCAGGACTTGAGCTCACGGTTCAGGCTGATACGACAGTGCAACCAGCATGGGGAAGGCACTACATTGTCAAGAGGAACAGCGTGTGCGTCAAGCAGCATCGCTTCCTCCACAGTGAAGCACAGCTCGCTCATTCACAAGCTCACTCACAACGCCACACAATCACACCTGCATTTTTGGCCCCAGATCCTATTATTCCTGCTGGTATAATGCTGCCATGCAAAGAAACACTGAAGAAGACCACCAGTGAGACGTAGGTACTTCAAGGACACTGCGACAAATGAACCACCTCTCGGATTCTCCAGGTTATGGCTCCATCCAGTGGCAGAGTTTACGTAAAACTATCCACACCGCCACAGCAACCGTCTACTCTTCAGATTGTTGCTTACCTTTCCCGTCCGTAGCAGATGCCTCTTGCAAGTGTCGAATTGACCTAAAAGCATAGGAATAAACAGCAATTAGGGAACACCACTCATAGCAAGGAGCTTAGGGAACAATTTAGCAATGTCAAAGCAAGCAGGCAAATGTCATTCCTCATTATAAAAAAAAGCCAGCTTCGAAAAGATGCCAATTACAGGTATAAATGTTCAAACAACAATATCTCATAATAATAATAGCTTTATTGCTATTCTGAAAATGCCCACGAGAGAGATTGCTGAGTCTCAATGAAACTGTATCCTCAGAAAGTGGGGCATGGTCTCCTGATGTCCTGGCCAACAATCCCCTAAATAAAATTGGTCATTCACTCCATAGCTGTTTGTGGGACACTGCTGTGCGCAAACTGGCTGCCGGGTTCCGCCCACAAAATTACACGTCACTATACTTGACAGTATATCCTGTAAAGCGCTTTGAGATGTTTCAATGATATAAGTTACTGCATCAAATGCAAGGATTATTATGTTATTATATGGGGTTTGTGTGCGGTGGATGGGGGGGGGGTGCAGGCTCACTTACCACACCACAGGGAATAGGATGGCCCCACAGCACAGCAGATCAACGAGGAACAGGATCTCCTTCCACAATCCGTATTCACTCGTCCCAGCCTCTGTCGACTCGATAATGATGTAAGCGACGTTAGCCAGCACCTGGTGATCAGAGCAATTTATCGTCACCCGCCTTCCAAAGGGGGAGGGTGGGGGGTGGGCCGAGGGAGGGGTGCGGGCGGGTGAAGGAGAGGAAGGGGTGGGGGATGCTGTTGCAGGGTCTCACATCACTGTTCCAGAAGCCTATCCTGGGCACTGGTCTCAATTTTTTGCCTAACAATCTGACCAAGTTCAGACATTCATCACCTCTGTGCCAATACCAGCAGAAACTACTATTTAAACTATGTCCTCCTGTTGCGCAAGCAGATTGCTAACGAGCTTCAGGACTGGGATGCTGTCAGATTATGTAGATATTCCCAGCAATGTGTGAACAGCACTGACTGGAGTCTACGAGATCCTGAGAACCCAGCAACACCCGATGCTACATGGGGAGCGTATCCTCATTGAAGATTTTCCTGAATTCCAGAAGAGCAGAGAAGGACCTGAACCAGGGTGAAGGGACCAAGACAGGCGCAGACTCCCAATGCTGCAAATGAGCACCAATAATCAGCCCTGCTTTTTTTTTACCTGCAGTGGAATGACGATCATAAAGATTTTCTTGTCCTTGTCTGATAGGATGTGTTTGACGAAAGCCCAGCCAGTTCCTATTAACGCAATTGTAATAAACAAAAGAGCACCTTTCAGCCTGCAAATAAAGGGGACAGAACACAGGTTTAGAGAAAGGGTGAGGACTCAAGGACAGCAAAAGCCATTAAAGACATTTTGTTCAGATGTTAAGCATGCATTTGTGGAAGTGAAAGCGGTTCCCTGCCCCAATGACTGATGATTTCACTTCACTGCAGAGCCAGTGTGCCATCTATTTGACCCTGGAGCATTCACTGAAAAAGCATTTTCATTCCATAGGTGAACAGTACTCTTATTAAAGCAGGAAATGATAGGTCCGCAGGAGAGGCAAGTCATCAAGTGGAGAGGTGTGTGCAAATGTCAAGAACAAAAGGTAACCATCATCTGTGTGCCAAGGCAAGATTACAGCCTTGAAATTCCTCCTGAGTGCTGGGAAAGGGACTGATTGGATTTTGGACCCCACCAATTCCACACTGCAACCAAGAAAGTGTGGGGATGTGACACAGTGTAATTCTCTATCTGAGTGGCCTGTTCTGCTGCAGTCTGAGCTCGGGGTAACCGCATAGAGAGAAACCTCACCACAGATACCAACGTACATCCTGCCACAGCTTGGGGGGGTGGGGCAGCCAGACTGACCATATTTAGCATTTCTGAGGACATCATTCAATGAGAGCAAAGCCTGGACTGCTTACAGCCAGCAGGTACACTGTTAGCTGTGGATAACCAGGAAGTTATACCATTAAAGGGAAGTGCCTCCTCCTCAACTCTCAAAGGGAAGAGAATACTAATCTTGGTTTAAAGTCTACCCCGGCTGCAATAGAAATAGATTCTGTACCTTCATCACCATGAGGTAAGATACAGGTGTCCACAAAGTCCTGTTAATCCATGTCTTTTTTCTAACTGGACTGACCAACAATTGAAACGTGGAACAACAACAACAACAACAACAAGATTCCATTTATAAAGCGCCTTTCACGTCAGGAGGACGTCCCAAGGCGCTGCACAGTTGGGTCATGACCCGAGCAGGGGGGAATGGTCAGGGTGAGGGGAGGGAAGGGAGGGAGCGAGGAGGGGGGAAATGGTCATGGTAAGGGGAGGGAAGGGAGGGAGCGAGGAGGGGGAAGAGAGTCGAGAGGGGAGCTGAAGGCTCGGTCAAAGAGAAAGGTTTTGAGACCGGCCTTGAAGGAGGAAAGGGAGGAAGCGGCGAAGGCACTGGGGGATAGAGTTCCAGAGCCTGGGGGCTGAGAGGCTGAAGGCCCGACCACCGATGGTAGGGCGGTTGGGGCGGGGGACGTGGAGCAGACCGGAGCCAGAGGAACGGAGGGTACGGGCAGGTAGGTAGGGGGATAGTAGGTCGGAGAGGTAGGAGGGAGCAAGGCCGTGAATGGCCTTGTAGGTGAGGATGAGGATCTTGAAATCAATCCTCTGGGGGATGGGGAGCCAGTGGAGGCGAGCGAGGGTGGGAGTGATGTGGTCGCGGTGTCTGGTGCGGGACAGTACACGAGCTGCAGAGTTCTGAATGACCTGCAGCTTGTGGAGGGAGGTGGCGGGAAGGCCGGCGAGGAGAGAGTTCCCATAGTCCAGCCTTGAGGTGACAAAGGCGTGGACCAGAGTTTCAGCAGCGTGAGGGGTGAGGTAATGCCGTAGTCTGGCGATGTTCCGGAGGTGATGGAAGGCGGTGCCAGTTGTGGTGCGGATGTGAGGGAGAAAGGACAGCTCAGGGTCGAACAAAACGCCGAGGTTCCTGACTGGCTTTGAGAGGTGGAGAGTGCAGCCTTGGATGCTGATGGTGTCAGCGCCTGAGGTGCGGAGGCGCTGACGTGAGCCAATCAGGAGGGCCTCGGTTTTTCGCACGTTGAGCTGAAGAAAGTTGTCTCTCGTCCAGGACTCGATGTCGGACAGGCAGCTGTCAGGACATCGGTGGTCGTGGAGTTGAGAGTAGAGGAGGAAAGGTAGAGTTGGGTGTCATCCGCATACATGTGGAAGTTAACTCCATGTCTGCGGATGATGTCACCAAGGGGGAGCATGTAGAGGGTGAAGAGGAGGGGACCAAGGACAGAGCCCTGAGGAAGAATGATGATAGTTGTATTTAGAAGTATTTAATTGTATTCAGTACAAGTGTTTAACTGATATTGCACCGAATATGGCGATGGATCATTATCTGCCATGAAAATGATGGCGCTCTGGACGTCTAAATGCAGTCTAAAAAAAAAGTAATAGAACTTTGTGGATACCCTGTACGATGCATTGGGAAAAGCAGCTCCAGGCTACAAGATGTATTACATAATAAATGATCTGTAGCTCAGGAACAGCGGCGGCAGTCTCCGAATGGTTACATCTGCACAAAGAATGACATTTTAATAACTTTGTAAGCAGAGTCACCCTGGAGCTGAACTAGCTCCAAAGTGATGTGCTTGGTAATGGAACGTCAGAATTGAGTCAGCCCTCTGTGCCCGGCTCTAGTCCGGTTCCTGAGCCGGGCAGGTCTGCAGTATTCCAGGGCACTGCAGATAACAGCACAGCCCAGCTCGGCTCATCTGCAGGACCTGGAATGGCAGACCAGTCACTGGGGGCTGGGAGTCATCTCACTCAGCTCCCGTTAACGCTGCAAGCCAAAGCCTTAATAGGTAGGGTGATCCTAATTGGACAAGCAACAGGAAAGCTTGCCAGACAGTGTTCTCAATGGCAAACTATGTGATTTTATCTGGTTAGACTCCAACGTACACTCTGGGGTCCTCAAGCCTTGGCTCTTGCCAATCTGCGCATAATACTTTCCGGAATTAGATAAGCAGGAGGCGTTCCTCCAGAGAGAGTGGGCACTCAATTCCAACAATCTATCTCTGGGATTTCCATATGTAGATGGGATGCATGGAAATCTGTATAGTTTGGATACTCCGAAGCATGGTAATCGGTTTCCATGCGTCAGACACCCGGCTGGGCAAAAATAAATTGATAACTTTGTCAGAAATAACTTAGCGCCAAGAAAGTGATCCGCGGTTCTTTGTGGTGCAGATTGTGACTTACAGGTGAGTAATGTAGTACACCACAGCCCAGCCTTCGATGGGGAATCCCTGGGTTGAAATATAGTGATAATCAATCTGGAGGGAAAAAAAACAGCATTCACTTCCAAGAAATTGCTCCTCACCTATACTTTGACTCTATACAAATTAAACAGTGGAAACTCGGTTTGGAGTGTATTTTACAATTTACCAAGAAAATAACAGGAGCTTTGTCCCAGATGAAAATTATCCAAATAACATGCAGTAACTTACAGCGTGGAAAACCAGAGAAAAGGATTTGGTGAACGCCAGTGCCCCCATCAGCCAATGGATCTTAAAAACATCGTTGCTGCAAAATGAGCAGAAAACAAGTAAGGATGTTTCAAAAAATAGTTCATATCAATGGGATAAATTAAATCTAGAAAAGGTGAGCACAGAACAAACTTTCAGATAAGCCAAGGCAGCAGGACAAAAGGGTGCAGGCTCACTGACCAACAATTCCACCTAATCTTAGCCCCTTTTCAGACTATGCTGTTTTAAATTTTAGGATTGCACAAAATTATGGAAAATTATTAATTAGAATCTTAATTTGGAATTTTTTTTAAAGAACTGAATAAAACTGTCTTCCAAGTTGTGACAATAAACTCCTTATTTTTGCATTAGTTGGTGTCAAGCAGTTGTCCTAACACTGACCCCTAGAGGGCACCACTGTTTTCATCTCTCCATTGCAAACAGCCCTGTACTTGGAAAAGCTTATGGATAAATTTTTCGTAATCCACATCTACCCACCCACAGCATTACCTTCAACTGCAGTATTTGCTCGGTTATTTTGACAAAAAATATTAAGTTTACCAAGCAAGATCAGCCTTTAACAAATCCACGCTGATTGTCTTTAAGTGGGTATTACTCAATGCTACACTGACTGGTATTTCACTTCATGTTACTATAAGCACATGCGATTTAATACATTCCTGCAGCATCACCCCAGCTATACCTGCGCTTCCGGAGAATGTACACCCAGAGAACGGCAGCCAGGAAGAAGAAGAACGCCATTGAGATGTAGAGTTTGGGCAGAGGAATTTCTCCCGCGGACAGGAAGCTGCCAGGGTTTTGCTCCACGATTGTGATCTGTTTGTAAAATGACAACAAACACAACGCAAGTCACACAGAACTCGTTGCTTGAACGGGATATGGCTTAGAGTAGACCAGTTTTGTCCAAGACCGTGTACAATGGACCAAATGGCTACATGTGCTTTCACGTCGGGAGGACGTCCAGTACTTTGGAACGTCCTCCCGATGTGAAAGGCGCTCAATAAATATAATTTTGTTGTTGTTGTCACATTTTAACATTCTATGAAGAGCTTGGCTCATACTTACATCAATATCGAAGCGCGGCAATTCAGAGTTCTGTTGCCCTTTGCCGTAGCAGTTGTGGAAGTACAGGCTGTAAAGGCCCTCCTCGTCCGTGCCGTTGATGCTGAGTGAAAACTGCACAAGAGGAAAGAAAGCAAACCCCAGTTTACACCATGTCCCACTGTGCAGGCTTCAAACAACGGCAGCACAGTTAAAAACACAGAAACACACTTGAAACTTGCAAACAAATGGCAGGTAGCATACTTGGTATCAAATGTCCACGTACCTTGACTGAATAGGAGGAATTTTTCTTCTGCATTGGAATGCTTCCTGCTTCACTCTGGAACAGAAATACTGAGTTAAGTGGTTGCAGTTGAGAGTCCCACTTTGTAGCCACCTCAGTCATGAGCACTGTGCTTTTGAATTCAGGCCATTTTCTCAGTCTGGCTTTCCTCCTCAATTTGAAGGAGCCAAATCTAAACCCAAACCCCAAGCTCACTGAGGGCAAAATCGGCAAGTGTATTCCTAGTCCGAGTTCCTCAGCTCCCTACGATCTCTCTTGGTCTCTGGTCCGACAGGTTTCCAATCCTCTGTAAACTGCTGCCCTGGGGTCATCTGTGAAAGCAGTTCTCCCCCTCTCAGGTTTTTCCCCACTCTCTTACAAAGAAAACTGGTTCCTCAGCTCCTCAGCTCACCCCGTAATAAACTAAATTAAGGTAAGCAGTAGTGACATTGACGTGACGTCCCAGGATTGTGAGACAATGATGTGTATTGTGTGCTGTATGTGTACTATGTGTAACCCATGGATATTCATCAACACACGTGTGGTAAACGTGTATATAGAAAAAATGACAGGAGATCTTAATTGACCACCCATGAAAAACCACCATTTTCATTGCTTATTACACATTTCTGTCCATGCACCAGTCTGGCCAGACACTTGTTTACATGTGGCACATAACACATCCAATGTTAGTGATGGGGGAGGGGAAAGGAGTTGGAATGCCAGATGCAGGTGTTTGTGAGTGAAGGCTCCACACCATTAGTGTGGAGTCAACAACAAGTTTCTCATGCTTCCCTGATAATACACCCAAATTAGAGCCGATTTACCGACCTTGGATTGCTCAACGCTCCGTTTGGTCTTTCCTGTGAAGGGAAAGAAGAGATTTTTTTTTAGCTTCTGGATGGGAGCTGGCATAACATTCCTGTTATGAACCTGGTTTTATTTCACCCTGTTCCTGGTTTTATGTCTGTCTGGGACTGACAAGGAACAACGAGCTTCCAAATACATCACAACGCGAACAAGATAATTTTGCTGCAAATGCCAAGCAGGCAACATTCAGTGCCACCATCCGTCCCTGGGCAACTGGAAGTTCTATTAGTCACTGAAGTTACTCACAGAATTGGCAGACTTTCACCCACAAATACACAACCCAACCTTTTGGGTAATAATCCTGACTTATAATTGGATGATAGTCCTTACCTTTGCTGTAGCGCAGGATTTACTTTAAAGTGTAGTGACTGTATTTTGTGGGTGAACTCTCTCAATTTGCGCACAGCAATGACCCACAAACAGACATGGAGTGAGTGACCAATTTTATATGGGGGATTATCAGCATATCAGATTATCAGTATATCCTCTTGAAGCACTTTGTGAGATACTTCGACAACACGATAAGCCACTACAGTATATCAAGGATTATTATTATGATGAAAGGCACCGTATCACAGTGTTCCATCCTTTGTGTAATACAGAGCAAGCAGCACTCAAGTAAGCTTAGGTTTACAGAGCGCAATGACACAAAAGAAATGTCTTAAAGCGCTTCTCACAATCAGATTGATTGGAAATAAATGTTCTGGATGCTCAGACTCACCACTTATATTCTGCACATTTGCTGCCTGTGTTTCATCAGCGGGACCTGACCCGGGCTTATCTTTTTGGTTCCCTTTGTCCTCCTCGGGTTTACTCTGCGCATTGCGCGCATCACCGATCTGAGGCTGATTGCTGCCAGAGGACTGAATGGTGACTCTGGGAACAGACAGTATGTGTAAACATTGGGTGGGGGGTAATCTGCTTAACAAAGGTTCCAATGCTACGTCACGATTTTATACTCTCACCTTTGTTTACCAAAGTCAAAGAGGAGAAGTGTGACGGGCACATCGCTGGGTGGCTTCTTCTTCAAAATACAATAATCAACATCATCTTCCTGTAACAGAGAACAGAAAATTCACACAATAAACAAGGGCTGCACATGTTTTTACAAGGAGGACTGTCGGGGGTGGGGGCTGGGAGCTGAGAGCTGCTCAGTCTCTTCACAGCCCCATACGGATATGTGGGAGCCCGGCAAAGACGAGAAAAGGGAACACGTTAGCTGGTTAGTCCAGGCTGGCTTCGAGGCGAGTTATTTGTGTATTTTGAAGCAGTGTGTGCATGCTTCACTTCCATCCAACCACAGTTACTAGGGAGGGGAGAAAAGAAGTAAAAGCATGTTTGGGAAGATACGATCATTGGAAAAGGATGAAACTGCAGCTGTGAACAAATATTGGTCTGCCTATCAATCAGCCCCTCATCACCTCACAGAACCTGAAGATCTGCCACTCCGCACTCTTGTGTGTAAACAGTGACCGGACTGGCATCTCATATCCATCTCATTCCATTGCCACCAGAAAAAACATATGCCGGGCGGAGCAAAAAGTTATACATAGATAAAAATCTACAGCTCTCTAAAGCGTCATTGCTACAGAGCTGCCCTGTGGGAAAAGGATTGGAGGCCTCACCTTGCACACAGTCACATTGGTGAGATTCCTTAACGACACTCCAGCAGGGCTCAGGAAGCACGCTGTCATATGCAGACGTGTTCACCTTAAAGGCCTTCGGATTGGCAAACAAATGTATCTGAATGTGAAATCAGGCTTCCTGAGCCCCAGTGTGAAACTTGCACCACTTCACAGAAAGCAGACGGTGCTGAGTGCACACTGAATCAGGAGGCCATGGGGTGAGGTGACTGCCTTTTATCTCATTTGCTGCTCCATAAGATGCACCTGCTGTGTAAACACAGCACGCTGGCCAGCACCAGGCAAACCGGACAATATCCCGCTCAAGCATGCTGTGCGCATTCAAACTCAAGATGAGCAGGTTTTGAAAAAAGTATTTTATACAGAATGGTGAATGTGTGGAATCAACTCCCCAGGGAAGTGATGGAGGCAGATTGTGACAGACGAGTGCTGGGGTTTCCCAAAATAACAATAATCATGTTAACTTTTAGTCTAGAGCCTCATCGTGTGCATTTTGTTGGAGAATGTGGCAGTCAATTTGCTCACAGCAATGTCCCACAAACAGCCATGAAGTGAATGGCCAATTTCATCTGGAGGATTTTTGGCCAGGACACTAGAAGGAACTCCCTTCTCTTTTCAAATGGTATTGGGGAATCTAATGTCCACCTGAACAAGCAGACAGGACCTAGGTTTAACGTCTCATCTAAGGACGACACCTCCAACAATGCGGCGCTCTGTACCTTTTGTCATCTTTCATGCTCACTCTCCCGTCTCTCTCTCTCTTACACTCACCACATACAAACACATGCGCTACACACAAACACACACTGAGCCGAGAGAGGGATAGGTCGAAAACATACAAGTCACTGTGCTCGTGGTTTATATATTTGTATATATAATGCACATACTGCTGAATGCATTGCCTTGTGAAACCCTGCTGACATGTTTGCCTACAAACCCACAATTAATTTAGAATTGACAGCAATTCCCTGAGAAGTGCTTTGAGATGTTTCAATACTAGGCTCTGTATCAAATGCAAAGATTGTTACTACACACATACTGCTCCTGGATTCACCCAATTCAATAACTGTGTGATTTTGCTTTTCAAATGTTGCCTCTGACAGGAGCGTGAAACAGAACATGTACACACGACTCTGCATTCAAATGCAGATTCTGTTTCTTCAAAATTAAAATGGATTAATATAAAACACATATAACGAGGTTTCATTCACACTTTGCTGGAACAACAGCAGTGAGCAGTGTTTTTCAGATAAGATAATGTTAGATATTTTAAGATTTTATTACTCCTACCCTCCACCTCCCTGATCCAATCCCCCCCCTCCCCCTTCCCCCTGCTCGGGTCTAAATCCCTGACTGTCAAGCGCCTTGGGATGGCCTACTTAAAAAAATATAATATTTATCTCATCTGCAAAACACTGCTCACTGCTATTGTGAAAGGTGCTGTACAAATTTTGTATTGTATTCTACAGCTCAGGGCTGAGAGACGATTTGTAGCTTACCAGATATGATGAGAAGCCATCATTTTTTGTTCTGTCCAAACTGAGCCCCAGCTGTGAAAAAGGGAAAAGGAACACATATAAGTTCTACTGTACAGCCCATCACAAGCCGGGTGCCCTGAGCACCCACCCATCAACCTCTCCCGCTAAAACTGGCCGACATCTAGTCATCAGGTCGCTGCTGACGCCACTTCCTGCATGCTGCACGTAAGATATGTGTGGACAACACTTACAGGCAGAGACACCAGCAGCTATTTCTACCTTGTGTCTTGTTGTAACAGAATGTTTGGACATGGACCTGAAACAGTGCATCGTAACAGGGACGTGCCCACTGCAGTTGGAATTATAAACAGTTTAACAATTCATTCTACATCAGAAACTGCTGGAGATTTCTGACATAAAAAAAAGTGTTCTGGGATGCTACCCTGCATGAGGGGCGCTTTATAAATGCAAGTTACTATTGTTGTTGTTGAATCCGACAATACGATACTAATTCGCAGAGCTCTCCATGAGCAGCGGGATCTGTGACAACAGGTTGAGTTTCTTATGATACTCGACTCGACAAACCTTCCTACTCATTTATCACAGGATACCAGGCTATAGATCTTTAAACAACTCACTTGTCTTATTCAAAACAACAACAAATACATTTATATAACATCTTACACGTTAGAAGGACATCCCAAGACCTGAAAAGGGGAGCTGTGGATTTAGAGAATAAATTGCTCATGATGCAGCATACCACAGATCTAACCAAATGACAGATACCTGATACGTAAGCGAAACAAAGGTGTAAACTTACCTCCGAATTGTCAATAGTCTTGAGGTCAATCCCCTTCAAAGTCAAACTGGTCATTTCAACAGTCATACTTCCATGCTTGAAGAAACCAAAGGTGTTCAAATGGACCTTATGTCTCACATCATTCTGCAACAGAAAAGCATATATATAAAAAAAAGTGGTCACTCAATCCAAGAATGTTTGTGGGACACTGCTGGGTTCAATTATCTGCCATATTTCACCGACAAAATACACAGTCAATTAAATTTACAATATATTCTGTGAAGCGCTTTGAGACATCTCAACAACGTGATAAGGCGCTATACCAAATGCAAGTATTATTATTATTATCAGCTGTAACCAAAAGCAGTGATCCCACATCAGGGCCAGACTTCTGCTGCACACACTGAGGGCCTCAACCCACTGACCCCAAGAAATAATCTCTCCTTATCTGCCTCCCATCATCTTATACACCTCTATTATCCTCTTTTGACCTTGTGGGCTCTGAAGAAAAAAGCCTCAGTTTATCAACCCTTTCTCTACAGCTGCATATTCTCATTCCAGGCAATATTCAGGTGAATCTCCTCTATACAGACTCCAGGGCTTTTACAACTTTCCTATAAGGCAGAGCCCAGAATTGCACACAGTATCCAACTGAGGCCTGACCAACGTTCTGCACAGATTGAATGAATTCCTCATCTTTATACTCTATTCCCCAACTCTGAATCCCAAAGTCCCATGGCTTTTAATGGCTTTATCCACCTGGGTCAATGCCTTCAATGACCTGTGAATCTGCACTCCTAGATCTCTTTAAGATTTAAGCAGTGTTAAAAACATCAGGACTAGATGTCTGATCAGTTCGGGAAATTCCACACTTTGAGCCTTAATAATTTAAAGATATCGTGTATCAGAATTGACAAAGATTCAATTAGCTTGCAGAATTTATAATAAGCAGTTTCTTGTTGTCATGCAGAGCAGGACATAAACATTTCAATGTCAAAACCATGAAGGAGACTCTTGCCACCAAATAACCTTTAAACTTAGTTACAGTAGATTTGGAGCAAATTCAATATTCTCTGAGGTTTTTCGTGATTGTTAAAATATTTTTCAATGAAAGAATTCCCAGTCACCTCACAGTGTTACTGGCTGACAGTGATTCTACATTATAACCAATATAGTAAGTTATCTGCTACTGATAAGCATCAGTAGCAGTGATCAAGTAGGTGACGGACATTTACCACAAGTACAGGGACATTGATATCGGGCACTTATTTTAGCAAAACACTTCAGCACTGGATGAATCAACAATCCTGCTACATTTTGAAATTATTTAATGTTTTATTCAGTTTCCCACTGCACTCTCTTCACCTATTTTGGAAGTAGCTTTACTTCTAAAACCATTGAAATTTACAGCACAGAAACCAACCATTCAGCCCATTGGTTCTGTATTGAGCATTTCTTTTCAATCCCATTTACCTGCCTTTTCCACCATATCCCTGTAAATAATAAACCCTTGTATTTGCATTCTTGCATTTTACATTGGAATTATATCTCATTGTCAATTGAAGTGACTGGATATTTTGTAGGTGAATGCGGCAGCCAATTTGCACACAGTAATAACCCCACAGATGGCCATGATATGAATGACCAAATTTATCTGGAGGACTTTCGGGAAAATTTCACCTTTGAATAGTGCCATAGGATCTTTATCGTCCACCTGAACCAGTGGATGGGACCTCGGTTTAGCTTCTCATCTGAAGAACTGCACCTCCAACAATAAAGTGCTCCCCCAGTACTGTATTGGTATATCAGCTGTATCCACAAGCCACTGTTAGTAGTAGTAGTAGTAACTAGCTACAAACAGTAATAACAAGAGTGGAGAAGACATTCATAGCCAATCACAAAGGTCTAAACAAACTTTAACAGAATCTTAGAGTGGAGTAAAGCTGGACTAAAGGTAATTAAGTTGTGTGACATCTGGTCCAGTCAGGATTTAAACCAAGTTCATTGACAGCAGCAACAGTCCACAGAAATCAGGCTACTGGCCATGTGTCCTCCTGGGATACAGTTTCACATGCAGCAGGAGTCACATGATAATGATCAGATACACAAACTGCGTGGATGTTTTCCTCCTCCCCAGCCTGAGAACTGTGAAGTTCCACCACCGTCTGATTCTTAACTAACTCAGCACAAACCATAGATCAAACCCAGGTTTGGCATGGGAGGAGCAAAGAAAAATCAAAGTGAGGCTTTGTGCAGGTGGGGTGGAGGAGAGGAGCAACTTTATCTGGAATAAAACCAATTATATTTAATATGTTGCCATGGTGATAAGGGAAGTTAATGATGGCCAATGCTCCAAAGGTATCCATCTAGCTCAGTCAGTATACTGCATTCTCACCCGAGTAAGAAGCTTGTGGATTCAAACCCCACCCACCAGGACTTTGAACTCAGTCTTAGCTGACACCCCAGTGCGCTGCATTGTCGGGAGTTGCCATCATTCACATGAGACATTAAACCGAGGTTCCATCTGCCTATTCAGGTGGACATTAAAGATCGTGTGCCACTTTTAAAAAGAGGAGGGAATTCTCCTGTAGTCCTGGCCAAGAATCCCCCAAATAACATTGGTCACTCACTCCATGGCTGCTTGTGGAGCATTGCTATGCGGAAATTGCTCACCTACAGTCACTCCATTTGACACTTTCACAATTCTGTAAAAAGCACTTTGAGACATTTCATCGCAATAAGTAAGGTGCCACGCAAAATGAGGGAAAAAAAATCTATTTATGACCCAAATTTGCCTGTGGATTGAGTGAGAATTTACACATTTCAGCTTATAAAATGCTGCCAAATGCATTTTTAAACAAAAAAAATCTCCTGCAGTCCTATAGCTCAGTGGTTAGAGCACTCGCCTCCCAAGCGAGAGACCTGGGTTTGATTCCCGGCAAAGTGAAACGTTGAGCAAGTTTCCTTACTTCACACGGCTCTGTTTACTAGCAGTAGGAACCTGGCTGTTAGTCGATTGGCGGATCGCTGTTCCGGGAGTAATAATTCCTTCAAAAAAGTCACTCAATCCACGACTGTTTGTGGGACACTGCTGAGCGCAATTGACTGCCGCGTTTTGCTCACAAAATATACAGTTAATACACTTTAACTTTAACACAGTCAATGCCTTGGGACGTCCTCCTGATGTGAACGGCGCTCCCTATAAATGTGATTTTGTTGTTGTTGTTGCTGTTGCTGTTGTTGCTGTTGTTGTTGTTGTTGTATGCTGTGAAGCGCTTTGAGCCGTCTCGAAGACCCGATAAGGCGCTGTATCGAACGCAAGGATTACCATTATAGGATTATTTATCGCCTGAGAGCTCACACCAGAGACCCTGAGCGACCGCCAAACATCATTCCAGCACAAGAGGAGCAGAGAGGGAGAGAGGGAGTGAGAGAGAGAGAGCGACGAAAGGAAAGGAAGGCGCTGCAGTGTTGGCGCGGGGACTCCGCCGGCCGCTCGGCGCGGGCTGGCGGGAGCCGCTGGGAAGCCCCCGGGGCCGTTACCTTGAGGATCAGGTGATGAATTCGGCCCCAAACCGGCACCGAGAAGAAGCCGCAGAGGAGAAGGAGAAACGCCCGGACCGCGGGACCGCTCAGCGCCGCCATCTTGCTATCAACGTCACCAGCTGGCTCTGCTTCCGGCGGGGGGAGAGGGGGCAGAGGTCATGAGCGGGCGTCATGACAACGGGCCAGCGCTTCTGCGTCAGGCGACGTGGGGACGTCGTGACCCCCACGTCAGGCGGTGACCCTGGACCCACTCCACCCTTCAGAAGCTGAAGCTCACCCAGACCTCCACGTTACAGTGATAGCAAAGATAATAATAATAATAATAATAATAATACAACAACAACAATAATAATCCTCGCATTTGATATCGCGCCGTGTCACGTCTTCCAGACGTCTCAGAGCGAATACATTAATAATAATAATAATAATAATGGGGAGAGAGTGTGCATTCCGTTCCAATAAAATTATCCGGGGAATTTCTGGGACTATCAGCTTGGTTTTGGAGACTCTCAAGCAGACTCTTAAGTCAAGAAGCTGTCAAGATGTCCCCCAGCCCCAGCCCCTGAACATTTGCATGAGTCTGGGTAAGTCCGTGTATTCGATCCGCCAATCGACTTAACAACCCGGTTCCTACGCACTGCACGGTAAACCGAGGAGTGCGGAGTAAGGAAACTTGCCCACCATTTCGCCCTGCCCGGGAAACAAACCCGGGTCTCTCGCTTGCGAGGTGAGTGCTCTCACCGCTGAGCCACAGGATTCCTTTATAACGTAAATCAAGAAATATTCAATCAAGAAAATATATTTTGTTGGGCCACCACTATAATAATAATAATAATCCTTGCATTTGATATAGCGCTTTTCACGTCGGGAGGACGTCCCAAAGCGCTTCACAGAACACACTGTAAAGTGAGTTGACTGTATATTTGTGGGCGAACGCGGCAGCCAATTGCGCACAGCAATGTCCCACAAACAGTCGGGGATTGAAAATGACCAATTTATCATTGTTTTTGGTTTTGGAGGGAATATTATTAGGCTCTGTGTGGAGTAAGGAAACTTGCCCAAGGTTTCGCCCTCTGCCTGGAATTGAACTCAGGTCTCTCACTTGCAAAGCGAGTGCTCTAACCACTGAGCTACAGGACACTACCCTGATTCTCACCTCTGGAATCAGACCTAAACCCAGCCCTTCTCCCAGCCAAGGCGGCATCCAAAGATTCTAAGTCCAATGCATTTCTGGCCAATCCCTTTGTGGTGCAATCCCGCAGTTTGGCAATGTCACAATGGTACTGCAGATGGCGCTCTTGTACAACCCATATTGAGTCCTGTTGTTGGGGGCAGAGCAATGGGGGCTTTCCTCTGCACTGCTGTTGTTTTGGATGTCTGAAACAAGAACATGTTCCACTCTCCAACACTGACGTCCCTCACACGAAAGAACATTGGATGACCATTTTATTTCTAAATAAATGCAGCAGAAACTACCAAAACCTGATTGCTTTCTGCCCTTGATCTGGATTTGAGAAAAAAACATGACCTTATTGGTATAACCGTAACATCGCCCGACTCCGCCACTACCTCACCCCTCAGGCCACTGAAACTCTTGTTCATGCCTTCATCACCTCCAGGCTCAACTATGTAAATGTCCTGCTTGTCGGCCTTCCCAACTCCTCCCTCCACAGGCTGCAGATAATCCAGAACTCTGCAGCCCGTGTTCTCTCCCCCACTCTCACCCGATTCCACTACCCTATCCTTCAGAGCATCCAGTTCAAGATCCTGGTCCTCACATACAAAGCCCTCCATGGCCTCACCCCACCCTACCTCTGCGACTTCCTAACCCCTACCAACCCGCCCGTTCCCTCCGCTCAGTCGGCTCCTGTCTGCTCCACGTCCCCCGACCCACCCGCCCCACCATTGGCGGGAGAGCCTTCAGCCACTCTGCCCCCAACCTCTGGAATTCCATCCCCCAGTCACTCCGCCTCGCCCCCTCCTTAACCTCCTTCAAGTCCCTCCTCAAGACCCTCCTCTTCAACCATGCCATCGGCCACCCCCCTTCCGCTCCCCTCCCTTACCCCCCCAACCCCAGCTCGGGTCTGAAATGCTGTACTCTGTCCAGCGCTTTGGGATGTCCTTCCAACGTGAAAGGCGCTATACAAATGTAATCTTGTTGTTGTTGTATAAACAAACCAACCCCAGTGCTAATGAGTTAAGAAGCAGAGCATTGGTGAGCGGACATGTTGTGGGATAGTGAGTTGGGTGTGGAAGCTCTGGCCTCCCATCATCAACATCATGAGTTCTCAGGGCTATATGATGAATGAGATATCTGTTCACTCTCTTGAGTGCTGCAATGTGACTCAGGATAACAGTAGAGTGGAGTTTGTGGGAGGTATCAGAGGCCTGTGGAATTGTGGAAGCCCTTTGAGACGTCTTGAAGATATGATAAGGCGCTCTATCAAATGCAAAGATCTTGTCATGTGCCCTGTGAAATGCTGCAGGACCCCAAGGCGGGGACACCTTGGTTTCTGCACCTGTGCAAAAGCAATGTCTTAAAGTGTTTTATAAAATTAGATCAATTACAAATGAAATGAATGTTGGTACAGAGGCAGTCTTGCAGCAAATTTGCACCCAGCAACATCCTTCAAACAATAAGATGAGCAGAACAGTTGAGTTTGAGGGCAACGTTTCTGAAGAACTCAGCGCACAACTATTATTATTAAAACAGGAGGTGACTCTCCTCCTTGCAGGGAAAATAAGTGGCGGCTCATTGGAGCTGAGCCATTCTTACCAGCATGGCAATGGGTTTCTTCATGTTCCTTAAAACATTTGCCACATTGATACGGTGAATGCCCTGTGGCAGGTTGTTTCATTTTATGACCAATGTGGAATCTCTGTTTGATTTCCAATTGTTTTTCAAACTCCACTTCCAAACTTCTCCCCACTCAGCTTTTCGTCATCTCTGTAACACTGCCCGCCTCTGGCACTACCTCTTCTCTTGGGTTGACTCTTATCATGACCTCTACACATGCCCACTTTTCAGACTGGTTCAGTTGATACCACTCTCGCCTCTGAGTCAGAAGTTTGCGTGTTGAAGCCACACGGCAGGACGTGGAACTCATACAGTTCAAGGTGACACGTCGATGCCATGCCGTGGGTGTGCTCCAATGTCAGAGATGCTGTCCTTTGGATGAGACATTAAACTCAGGTCCCATCTGTCTGCCTGTTCAGATGGACACTAAAAGATTTCACAGCACTAATCAAAAAGGGAAGCGTTTCTCCAGATGCTCTGGTAAATAATCCCCCAAATAAAATAGTCATTCGCTTTACAGCTGTTTATAGGAAATTGTCTGCCTTGTTCATTTGCATATACAGTCACTGCACTTTAAAGTATATCCTGTGAAGCACTTTAGGATGTCCTCTCGATGTGAAAGGCTCGATACCAAATTGTAAGGGTTATTATCATTGTTTTTAATTGCTGCCCCAGGCGAAATCAGTTCCCTCTGCAGCTTTCACCTGTCACACTACTTGCTTTCGTGTCTCAATATCGACCGAGGCAGAATCAATCAGCCATAAGGAAGCACATCAGCTTTTTCCATCTGAATAGACATTGCTTTCATATGAAAGGTGCTACAAGGTAAGTTGTTAACTATTTGCACAAATTCCTGTGGTTAAGAGAGAGTATGATGGTAGATTCAGATCTTTTATGGTCTGCTGTTTACAGCAGCAACCCCCGCCCACCCCCACGCATGCACAGTTTACACAGCGACTCCCCCACACACACCACACACAGCTACCACAGCGACACACACGTACACAGCTAACACAGCAACACACGCGCACACCTTATACAGTGACACCACTCTCCCACACACGCCGCACGCACACACACACAGTTTAAACAGCGACACCCCCACACACACACAGTTTACACAGCGCTCCCCCCACACACAGCTTATACAAAGAAAACCCCCCACACAGCTTACATAGAGACACCCCCCACACTTTACACAGCAACACCCCTCCAACCATACAGCTTATAGAGACACTCCCCCCCCACCACACACACACCCACACACACAGGTTACACACCCACACACACAAAATATACAGTCAATTCACTTTACAGTGTATTGTGTGAAGCGCTTTGAGACGTCTCAATGAGGTTACAAAGCGTTATATCAAATGTAAGGAACATTATCACTGGCCGTTATTCAGGCCCCTCCCCCTCACTGGCCGTTACTCAGGCCCCTCCCCCCCACTGGCCGTTACTCAGGCCCCTCCCCCCCACTGGCCGTTACTCAGGCCCCTCCCCCTCACTGGCCGTTACTCAGGCCCCTCCCCCCCACTGGCCGTTACTCAGGCCCCTCCCCCTCACTGGACTGTTACTCAGGCCCCTCCCCCTCAGTCTGGCCGTTACTCAGGCCCCTCCCCCTCAGTCTGGCCGTTACTCAGGCCCCTCCCCCCCACTGGCCGTTACTCAGACTCCTCCCCCTCACTGGCCGTTACTCAGGCCCCTCCCCCTCAGTCTGGCCGCTACTCAGGCCCCTCCCCCTCAGTCTGGCCGTTACTCAGGCCCCTCCCCCTCAGTCTGACCGTTACTCAGGCCCCTCCCCCTCAGTCTGACCGTTACTCAGGCCCCTCCCCCTCAGTCTGGCCGTTACTCAGGCCCCTCCCCTCACGGACCGTTACTCAGGCCCCTCCCCCTCAGTCTGGCCGTTACTCAGGCCCCTCCCTCTCAGTCTGGCCGTTACTCAGGCCCCTCCCCCTCAGTCTGGCCGTTACTCAGGCCCCTCCCCTCACTGGCCGTTACTCAGGCCCCTCCCCCTCAGTCTGGCCGTTACTCAGGCCCCTCCCCCTCAGTCTGACCGTTACTCAGGCCCCTCCCCCTCAGTCTGACCGTTATTCGGGCCCCTCCCCCTCGCGGAGCAGTTTCCCGCCCAGGCGCGTGCTGTGGGTGTGCGCAGGCGCGAGCTGCAGGGCCATAGCGCTGGGGCCGGAGCGGCGAGAGAGACAGAGAGAGAGAGAGGACGGGAGCCATGGAGGCGGAGCGGTGATACAGGAGCGCAGTGTGTGTAACCGCTCTGTACCCGCAGCTCTGCGGAATATCGCCGTCCTCTAACTGGCGCA